CAATGATAGATACCTATATGGTCAGGTAGAAGTTTTTCTAAATGGTTAGATTCACCTGGCTTCCTAGATAAGTACATCTGGGTATCATCTGCATTACATGCAAACATATGTGTTGTTCCAGTCTCTGTAACAGAATCTTGTGGTTTATGGTGGTAAATGCAGCACTAAGATCCAACATGGATCTGTATGGAGTAAAGAGACAAGTCCATTGTATAAAGCCTGTGTTGTTTTGTTGTTTCTTTAGTATGATATTCTCTGAATCATGACTGAAAGCTGATAGCATTTTCAAAGAGATTGGATATAGGTAGGTGCTTTTCTTAATATGTTGCTTAAGAGGGGTAACAGTGTAAACAATGGTCACTTGGACTCAAAGATGAACCAATTCAATTTTTGTACCTGGGGGTTAAAGGCGAAGGTAACCCAACCTCACGTTCCTTTGAATGTGATATATCAGGACTGCCCACAAGGAATTTCATGACATCTGGCACAACAGGTTACATTTCAGTGGTCAGAGGTCAAAGTACCAACATTGACGTACAAGCATATAATATGTTGTATATTGTATCCTGTATCCTGTATCCTGTACAGTATGTTTCATGCTTAATGTTAAACCAACCACTCCCACTCTTGAGAAAAAATCTGTTTGTGCATAAGGCCCATTGTGCTTCTCATATTTTAATCACATGAATCAACGCCTAAGGTACATGCACATACAGCTCACTGATGCAGACCACAACAGCAGTGATTGGTCCAAATTGTAGAATGTCCCGTCCATGTCTCAGTGGCTGGAGAAGCACACAACAGTATCATTTCTTGTCATGAGACGTCTTCACTCTTCTGAATMACAGATGTTCGCTCCAACTCCAACATCATCCTCTCTGTTTCAGTTGCAGTTGTTTGATGTACACTCGCTGTGGCTTAGCGTACCCACCAGCTGCTTGGTTTTGGCTGTGTAAGTATAAATGCTCACACAGCGTAGACCTCTTGCTTAGTTAGGCTGCAGTGCACAGCAGATTCTGCTTTGATCCTAAGCAGAACTGTAAACCAGGCTGAACCAGGAAAACCTGAGGTCACAACACATGCACTTTCATGGCATGGCCTCAACATTGATTAGAAGAAACAGTTTTTAACATAAAGGAAAGGTGTGTATATGTTAAAAGTATTTATACATAAGAAAATGCCTGATAGAGTTGAAGGGGGCAGCAGTGGCAATGGAAACGGAACAGTTAATCCCCAGTAGGTATTGAACATGTGAGTAGGTATATTGTATATCTAGCAGTCTTGTTGTCATCATAGTCCAGGATTAGCTGCTACCACGATCACAATCATCCACTAATGTTCACAATCAGCCTCCATCACAATCCACCATCACAATCTCTGATTCATGATCCACCGTCATAATCTAAGATCCACCATCATGATCCATGATGCAGCTGCAGCAGCGATCATTGATCTGCAAACAATAAAGCACAAGGATTCCAGGGACGATGTCAAGTCAGTAACATGTATTGATGAGACGCTAATGTGATAAAGAGGAAGCAGAGAAGAGAGAAGCTCCATGTATAGTGTGTCCCCCAACAATCTAGTCCTATAGCAGCATTACTAAGAGCAGGGGTCTCCGCTACGAAACAGGATTTGCGTTTATCGGGGTAACTTCATGCTAAGTTAGGGTTTCTGGTCCTACGAAGCTCTTTCAACTCACATCAGAGTGAATCACCATAGTAACTTATGCTCAACAGCCAACCAGCCCCAGAGCAGGTTAAGTCTGAGATAAGATATCAAGCAGTACAAAATCTCTGCCCACTCACCACTCCATTCCTTTGAAATATGACATCACTGTTCTTAGAGGATCCCATGGAGCAAAACAAAAAAAATGATCCAGTGATGCTTAACGCGTGGATTGTTAGAGGGTCTCTTAGCAGGACAACTTTTACAGTACATAAGTCCAATGAGATACATGCAAGTCTTTCACATGTCCATGTGTGTCTATCTGCTTCCCTTCTAGTTAAAGCTCTCTTTATACCTCCTCTCCATTTTCACCTTGTCCCTCTCTCATTCGTTTGTGTGTTTTGAGAGCAGGTTTAATGGAGGCTGAGGGAGGAAGTGGGGGCATAAAGAGGATGGGAAAAAATATCTTTATATAACCAGAGTTACAGCCAACTGTACTTGTGGTTGGAGGAAATGTCTTCAGGCTTGAGTCATTCTGAGTTCTGCAGTATAACCAGGCTTGGTCCCTGGGGTGTATGCACAGTGAGTGTGTGCTTGTGTGTGTACATTCAAGCAGTTGGGACTTTCCTCCACTTTGGTCAATCAGGACTGATTGCAAAGTGGTTGCTTTTACTTATGTAATAGGTACACATTTGGATGTACAAGCATATAATATGTTGTATCCTGTATCCTGTACAGTATGTTTCATGCTTAATGTTAAACCAACCACTCCCACTCTTGAGAAAAAATCTGTTTGTGCATAAGGCCCATTGNACATTGTCTAGATTTGAGCTTATTTGTGATTTCTTAAGCAGATATAGTGCGGTGTGCCATCATTGTTTCACTGATGATGTCTAGGGTAATGGCTTATATGGCTTATTTTTGGATTCAAGTCAGCCAAGAAAGAGTGTTTCCTTTTAAGTGTCATGCAAGGTGTTTTTATTTAATAATGCCCCTTTTTCTCAAAATTTCTGGTCTCTGTTAAACACTGATGATGAAAATGTGACTGGATCCTGATATCGTACTGTTTTCACTTATTCTCTCCACTGTCAGATACTGGTTACCAGATGAGCCCACCTTCACTTCTCATCTTCCCCTAAGAAAGTAGTCATGGTATAGCAACCGGGATGTGTGTATTGTGGGAGGGACAGGACTGGCATGTGTACTTCTGCCGCTCTAGGCGAAAAATAATTTTGCTGCCCCTCTTTTTGCAACGTACCACGAGCAACAACACACAAGCTGCAATATGCCATTCGCACAAAATGCTAATACAACGCTAGTGTTCTCAAAGTGCCAACAGTATTAAAGTATGCATGACGCAATATGCAGGCATTTTGCGGATCCATATCATGAATCATGGCAGCACATAAAATATATTGAAATATTTTCCAAATAATTAAATTTCAGCTCCTCAAAGTAAATACCAGTTCAAATCTCCCTAATGCACCACTTGGTTCCATTTGTATTGGGATGGTTGTTGTTGGGATGATGAACTTACAATCATGTATTTCATTTTTTGTCATTTCTGCATCTCGCTCCGCGTGTATGTGGAGGACACACATATGTATATTCCCACGCTCAGTTATTCACATTTCTTCGCCATTGCCAAAGTGCCGCTCTATGCAATCGCCTAGTTCGCCTATATGGACGCCGGCAGTGGAAAGGGAACACGATTAAAATACTGCTTGGAAGTAGGAAACTGCAGTTTGTCGATATTCTTCCCAGCGCTGGTATGTGGGTTTACAGATAGCAAATACACTTCACAGGGGGCTGTTGAGAATTACTGTCAGTTTCTGGTTGTGAGTCCACTGGACGAGCAATGAAGACACTGTCTGGTGATGCCAGATATGCCTGTAAATTGACTTTTGGATGTACTTCTTTTTCTTTTTCTTAAAACACTAGGTATGTCTTAATATATGCACATTTAATGTAATTAACTGATTAACTCTGCGTGCTTTTATTCAATTTTCTCATTTTCCATACATTTGGTCCTCTTGTGCTTGCTGTGCTTTTTATGAAGTCTCTCTATTTATTCATTCCTCCCATGCCCTGTTTTTTAATGAATTGCAGAGCACAAAGAGTGTAACAATATTAGCCTCCCACAATAATGATGTCATTTGATCTGCAGAGTGGCACGAACATCATTATCCCTTGTGACTGAAGGAACAATATTCTTTCCTTTCTGACCTCATGTACTGCACTCCTCCAAATTACTTGAGTACATGCAAGGCCCTGGTCAGTAGAAGAGTCAGTTCTCCAACAGCAATTAGTTTTGTACAAGTGCCATTAGTAGTGTATATGGTTCTCATGCTTCTACCTGGAGAACATTAACCTTTTCATATCACTATGAAATATATTTTAATGGGTTTGTGTACACTTTGTGTGATTGGATGTGTACTTGTGTACACACAGTGCATCCAGGAAGCCAAATCATAATTTCCAAATGCATCAAAAAGAAATGTTATGAGACCGTATGAGAGAAACAAGATTAAAACACTGGTGAATGTACATGTTTTAATCTCCATGTACAAAGATATGAAAAATCAGCAGCAACACACTAATATGTCAATAAACTATTTCAGCAGTGTTCCTACTACATTCGGTTTTAGCATGAGATGTGAAAAGAGCTTATCTTCAACAGTGTGGAGCAGGGTGCCTCTCATTCTATTCCAACTAAATCTGCCTGCTCTTGCTGTTATATTTTGATTTCTTTTTTTAAAATCAGACCTTTCCCACACAGAAAATCTTAGTAGGGTCCTGACAATGAGCATGGCTTTTACCCAGCTGCAGTAGGAATCATGCCTGTGTTTGTGGGCTGTTAAAAAATCCATGAAGTCTATAGCGTCCTCACGGGCAGGCACACAGGATTCAGCATAAAACTACTAGATCCACGCTGTGCACATTCACATAACAGGCAGACAGACCCAACACTGACCTTCCTCTAAATGTGTGTGTCCTATCCACCTCCCACCTCCACAACCAATCAGCTTCAAAAGTTAATTATATGGAGATACCTTACCAAGTTACATTTGTCCATGATTTGTACACACACATTTCCTTTTCGTGCAACATTTGTCTAACTTTGTGCTGATGAGGTATGTGTATCCTCAAGCTACCACTAGTACATCTCATCGAATGATAACATTTTTGTTCGATATTGTTCATTATCTATTACAAATGAAATAAATCAAAGTACTAACCTCATCAGGGATGCTTGTTGAAGTGTAGGCACTCTGCAAGGCCACTGAAGCAACGGAAACTCTGATGTTGTTCTCCTATGTGTTCTCCTCCAGGTGTTGGAGGTCTGCAGGAGTGGGTCTTGAAGTCAGCCACCCTGTCAACCTCCCCCGCCTGCCCACCCTTCACCCCACTCAACTTTGAGGCCACGCCCATCGTACGGGTAGCAATAGAACCCAAACATCCAAGTAGGTGTTGGACGGCACACACATGCCTACTTCATAATGTTTACCTTTTTTACAGACACACCGATTTGAGTTATTTTACACATCAGGTTTAATTTAAAAAAAAAAAACGACATACTTTTGTCTCCTGTGGTACAGTAAGGTTTCAACATTTAGCATGCTCAGATTTAATTGTTTTATATAGTATATATAATTTTTCTATTTTTTGTCATTGTACATGGGCACATACTCTGGTCACAGGTAATCAGAGGCATCATACATCAACTTAGATGTCCCCCTTTTTGTCCCCAGGCAGCAGCTCTGTGTCTGACTGTCAACCCAGTCCATTGATTGCTGTGATGATGACTGGTAGCCTTTATCCAATAAACCTAGAGAGCAATGATTTAAGCCCAAAACTAGAATGGTAATCAGTAGCGCGCATACCTCCGCCCAACACTTAATTTATGGTAAATGGTATTTATTTACATATGTAGGATTTTTCTAGTCTTGATACTTGATACGCAGTACAATTTTGGTTACCCTCTGGTTTGTGGACAACCTGCTTAAACTTCTAAACTAGTCGTTAAAGAAAAACGCTTTTTAAGTCACTGGATTTTTATTTGGATCTGCACAAAATCAAATATCAGTCCCCTAAACATGCCTGTTTTTTTTTGCAAGATCTATGAATTGATTCTGGATTCACCCCTGATCCGGATAAGTGCCAAAATGTTATGGGTTCTTCCCTAACATATACTGTCCTATCACCAATTTTTGTGGTAATCTGTCCAGTAGTTGTTGCATAATCCTCCTAACTTACAAACAGAAAGACTTCCTTAGTACAGGTAAAACTAAATTTGCTGCTGAAGAATATACCAGTTTCAATTAGAAAGAGTTTGGAAACCCCTGTCTCTGAGCTGGGTTCTCTCATCAGAACTTATATCTAGACCCGTGGTGTGTGAATTCCATCAAAGTGTAGGAATATCTGGAAGATGATGAAGAGAAATTGTGTGTCATAGCAAATGGTAATGGGCTGTAAATAGACAGTATTTATATAGCTATAGCATATAGAAAAATTATAAGTTTAACCAAATTCAACAGTAGACTGCAATATGCCATGCCAAAATAAAAAAAAAGTTGTATGTTTTGGACTGTAAATACAGCAGAAAAGGCACTGAATGGGTTTCCATCTTCTTTATTTGTATGTTAGGTGAGATGCCAAAGCTAGTACGTGGAATGCGTTTGTTGAACCAGGCGGATCCCTGTGCTGAGGTACTGATCCAGGAAACAGGAGAGCATGTTCTGGTCACTGCTGGTGAGGTCCATCTCCAACGCTGTCTGGATGACCTCCGAGAACGGTTAGTCTGTGTGTGTGACATCTCATAATATCTATCATATATATATATATGCTTCTTCTCCCACCTCATCAAGAGGTAAAGTGCTTCCCAGCTCATTTTACAGAAGGTCTTACCAAGTGCATCAGTATTAATATTGCCCTTAACATGCTGTCTGCTTTCCCTACAACAGACTATTATACTTCCCTATTTGTGTTTTCTTCTATGTTTGACTGTCTCTGTGTTTGTCTCTTTGCTGGGCTCCTGTGTTGTGACTGGGTACATACACTCACTGGCCACTTTATTAGGCACACCTGCATAATTGCTTGTTAACACAAATAGCTAATCAACCAATCACATGGCAGCAACTCAATGCATTTAGTCACCTAGACATGGTGAAGACGACTTGCTGAAGTTCAAACCGAGCATCAGAATGGCGAAGAAAGGGGATTTAAGTGACTTTGAATGCGGCATGGTGGTTGGTGCCAGACGGGCTGGTCTGAGTATTTCAAAAACTGCTGATCTACTGGGATTTTCACGAACAACCATCTCTAGGGTTTACAGAGAATGGCCCGAAAAAGAGCAGAGTGGTTCGAGATGATAGAAAGGCAACAGCAACTCAAATAACCACTCGTTACAACCAAGGTGTGCAGAATACCATCTCTGAAAGCACAACACGTTGAACCTTGAAGCAGATGGGCTACAGCAGCAGAAGACCAAACCGGGTGCCACTCCTGTCAGCTAACAGGAAACTGAGGCTACAATTCACACAGGCTCACCAAAATTGGACAATAGAAGATTATAAAAATGTTGCCTGGTCTGATTAGTCTCGATTTCAGCTGCAAGTATTGTTGCTGACCATGTCCATCCCTTTATGACCACAGTGTACCCATCTTCTGATGGCCACTTCCAGCAGGATAATGCACCATGTCACAAAGCTCACATCATCTCAAACTGGTTTCTTATACATGACAATGAGGTCATTGTACTGGATGTGCAGCCGACAAATCTGCAGCAACTGCATGATGCTATCATGTCAACATGGACCAAAATCTCTGAGGAATGTTTCCAACACCTTGTTGAATCTATGCTACGAAGAATTAAAGCAGGTCTGAAGGCAAAAGGGGGTCCAACCCGGTACTAGCAAGGTGTACCTAATAAAGTGACCGGTGAGCGTATATTTGGTTATGTAGGCTCAGGCTGAATTCCGTGTATACAGTATACTGTCAACTTATTTGTGTCAAGTCTGCCCTATATTGCATATCTGGTAGTGTTATATTTTGTGTTGGTGTGAATTTTACTGACCCCTGACCTCTTTTTATGAATAGATGAGAAACAACCATGAAAAACATATATATAATGTAGTCTAATACAATGTTTTTCAAAGTGGGGGCCGCCAGGGGGCGCTAGGGGGGGCTCAGAAAATTGGAGGGAAATAGAATCTAACAATTTTTTTAATCATTATCATAAAATATAATCTTTTTTTTTTTGTTTGTTTAATCATTATTATAAAATGTGTAATGTATATGGGCTCAGGCTTGACAAACTGTGTAGGAGTCACTAAGCCCATCCCTCACACTAGTGTAATCTGTCTGTCTCTTCCACACACACACACACACACACACACACTTTAGAGAGGTTTGATTTTTTTTTTGTTCTGTTCTTATTGTCAACAGTTTGTTGAAAATTTTGTTATTCAGTGTTGAGAACATGTTAGTTAATGATGTTCTTATTCTAAACAAATGTAATAATTATTGATTAGTGAATACAAGTAAGAAAAAACATTATAAAGTTGATGTTTCTTTACATATGTTGTAGCATTGTCTGTGGGTTTGCAAAGGGGGGGTCCCCGGCCAGAAGCTAATGCTGTTTGGGGGGCCGTGGCATGGAATAGTTTCGGAACCCCTGGACTAATGCAATTGCACAGTTTCCAGTTTCCAAACTGACCACAGTGTTTAATCAACACCTCTGTGACACAGAGTCATGTTGGCTGGTCGATGGCAGTCTGAACCCCTTATGACATCGCTGGCAAGCAGCCTGACCTGCAGTGTGTTACGCTTAGAATGAGGTCAGCACTGCTCAGCCACAGAGCGAGCACAAGACTATGACGTCACACCACTCTGAGGGGATTATCTCTCTCTCGCGCTCTCTCTCTCTCTCTCTCAACCGATAGGATGACAGTTATTGACAAAAGGGCAGTTTAGTTGGGTGGGGTTTAAGTGATGTGTGTTGGTTGTATTACCCTAATTGGTTCTCCGAATTTCGTAAAATCACATCCTTGTGCATACTTGTCTTTGCCTGTGTTTGCATAGAATAAAGGTGACTGCATTTTACTGCACTGCATATATCTTCATAAGAACTTATCATATTTCTGTCTGAATTCAATTTCAGTTTCTGGCTATAGCTGGATTAGATGAGCACATATCGTTGTCTTTGTGTCTAATGCCGTCTCAGCCCTTACCACAAACATAAACGCAGACATCTTTTTTAAGAACGACCCAGTGAACCCTGGGTCAGACAAGACGCAACAGTGTTGTTTAGTAAAGCCTATAATGCTGACGGAGAGAGGCAATTGGACAGACGACCTAATCAGTGTGGAGGTTTTGTCCTGCACAGGAAGCTGCACCAAGGCGTACCGACACACGAACAATTGAGATGTTTGGATAAGGTAGCAAAAATCTAGTTTAATGCTTTTGTCAAAAAAATCCTATAAATACTAAGCAAGGGGTTAAAACAGCTCAGAAATAGTGTCCTTGTTTAAAAAAAAAAGCATCTGAACACTGTAGTTAAACAGTGCTCTGATGGGAGGAAATCGTACATTTGGTTATTTAGTTACATCAGCAGCAGTCTTATGTGGTTCAAGGTAGACACTTAGTGATATCAGGTCATTGTTGGTTTTAGTTTTTTCACAGAATTTGTCAACAAGACAAAGCTCCAGATTCATCTGTAAACTAAATGGCGGGGAACCATTTTTTGCCTTTCAATTCTATTTTAATTGTTATACCATTCTTTCAGGGCCATACTAAATACGTGAACACATTTGTCACACTAACCTCTCTGATGATGGCTGGAACTGTTTTTCTTTGTTTTGCGAAGTGCTGATGTCAGATGGCAGCGATGATGACTTATATGTTCAGTTCCTTTTCTTTCACTTCCATGTCCTGGGAATTACCAAATGCCCAGAGTTTGAAAAACTCACCAGCATATTGTGAGTCATAGCAGGCTTTTGTTCTTGTGGAGCAGTCTGCTGCTGAATTAGGTTTCACTTTCTTTGCTATTAAATCGCTTACCACAAAACCTGCCTGCAGAACATTGAATCTGTCAGAATGTGGTCTTCTGAAAGCTGCTTGTTGGACACCAAACTCCAATTTAGAGCTTAAACTCTAAATGTTGTATTACAAACCTGGCTCACTGGCTTGTATTTTATTTGAAAAATAGTGTTTGTCAATTTATCCTGGTATGGCTCATGTCAGTATTGACATGCAAAAGCTACAAGTGTTTTGTTCGCCCTGATTATGACCTTACAGGCAGAAGAGAGGGGGGTTTCACTGATTAAATAATTTATTACCGGAGCCGCTCTTAAGGTTAATAGAAGATCGTTACTCAGGGACATAAACTCCATTAAAACACTTGATGTTTGGAGAAGTGCTTTGACCGGCAGGTTAAGTAACCATGCAGGTTGAAGTGTCACCCTGCCCAGCCATCCTGAAATTGTTTTATTAGAGCACACTATTCAAAGTAGTCATCAACTATGTTTGTTTTTTTCATTGATTAAGCCGCAGATTATTTTCTCAATAACAATCAAATCAATTTTCCTGCAGAACATAAGAAAAGCAATTATCAGTAGTTAATACCATGAGATGACTGCATATGTCCAAACCCTAAAATATTGACTGCATCGTGAATAAAAACAAAGAAAGCCCGAAATCTAAAAGGAAATCTGCAGTCTTTAAGGTATGTAACATGTCTGCTAGAGAAATGACCTGAATGATAAAGTGATTATGCAGAAAGCTGCCAATTAATTTACTTGAGTTTGATATAACTCGTAGTTTCAGCTCTGCATTTGTCGATGTTTAAAAAAACACTTGATATAATAATGTGGACACTCCTCAAGACTGAGAGCATTGTGTCTGTCAGGGGATTAACAAGTTCACAGTGCCAGAGTAAAAGTGTCAAAGAGATTTGAAGCCCACCTTAACAAAGTGTTATTATTCATATTAACATGTACGACGTCTCACATGGATTATATCCAACCCTGTTGTTCACAGGCCGCAACTCCTCCAGGACAGATTTAAAGCAGAGACTAAGCAAGGACATAAATCAGGAGAGGCAAAATATATCGAGGTCCTTTATGGCTTTCAGTATTTTAATGTCTTCTTTTTTTAAATTTGTGATATAAATTTTTTTTTTTCTCCTATATCTGTAATTGCTCCTTGTTATCTGTGCGAAAGAGGTTTTTTGCTGACCCCGTTTGTGTCAAAGGGATATCTCAGAGCCATTCGATTTTGAGAATATTTATTACACAGACAAGTTTTGTGTTTTTGGTGTTCATGTGGACCATTTCCGATAATTTTTTGCCATAACTATAAGACTCCAAATGACTCCAAATCCTAGTGTAATTGCTATAAATTTCTCTTTAACTTTTCTTCAAATTTAGCCTTGACCAGTGGAAGATTGTTACCTGCAGAGTTACTGCTTAAAGGGCCTTTCCTTACTTTCTGTCAGATAATGTTACAGTGTTGGATGTCCATTCTTAAACATGTGACAAAGTCTTCAATAAAGAGATACATGTATGTAGATACAAATCTTTGTGAGACAGAAGCTCAGCCGTCAGACTGCTCTGAACGCACATTTTTTCCCTGATATGAGCTTGTCACCTGTTTCCTTTGGTCTCCCACACCAGGCACAGCTTGCTCCATGAAAACAGTCTAAATGAGTGTTATTATAGGCAGTAGTTGCACCTGGACACACCCAGGTAAATAGAATTAAACCGAACAGCTGTTTTATTCTCATGACACGATCCAGATCTGATGTAAATCCTCACAACATCTTCTGGGCCCCTGATTTCCTCTCTGTTACATCTGTCCACTTAGGAGCCACAATAAACACAAACATAATGAACTTATAGTTCAAAATATCATTACACAAAAATTTTTCTCCACATATATTCCTCATATTATTATATTAGTTTAAACACTTTGGTCTTGTTTGTTTTATTTCATTTTTAATGAAATCTGTTTCCTCTGTTTGAACTGAAAACATCTTTTCTCAGGATGTGTCATTTTGTTTAAAAAAAATGTTATTATAACCATCAGTTCACAGCACAGAGTACTGTGTATATTGCACATTTTCTGTTATAAATAAAGCAGTTTTTTTTTTAATGCCAAGTGTAAGTGGAGTCTGATTGTCTCTGAGAACCGTGGTTCTCCTTTCCTAGCTCTTTACGGCTTCTCCTCCACATCTTTCCTTGAACTTGAGAGGTATTCCATCGTGGTCAAGGAATAATGCTTAGGAAAGGAGATTATTAGGACTTTCTAAACACGCTCCATATTAACTGTCACAAATCAGTAACAGGAGTTTCACTTGTCTTTTAAAGGTTTGCTAAAATTGAAATCAGCGCATCCAAGCCCATCATTCCATTCAGGGAGACCGTGGTACGTCCTCCTAAAGTGGATATGGTGAATGAAGAGATGGGAAGGCAGCAGAAAGTAGCCATCATTCACCAGGTGAGTCACTGAACTATAGTCGATCAGCGTACAACCAGTTCAGTAAAGTTGTGTCTGCTATCTTGACTGGAAATCAGGATCAAGTGATAGACTGGCATGTTTTACTGTGATGGAATAATTAGGGGAATTAAGTGTGTCATTATGTTTGTATGCTTTGTTAGGTAAAAGAAGAGGTGTCACAGGGTCGATCATCAGACAACCTCCATGTGGACCCCAGTGGTCTGGTGACCCTCACCACTCCCAACAAACTGGCCACTGTCAGCATCCGGGCAATCCCCCTGCCACAGGGTAAGACCTGGACACATGAACTTTTTACATCTCATTCCACTTCAACGAACTAGGTCGTGTGTTGTGACAGGCGACCATGTCAAAAGGAAGAAGATCTTTCAAATGACATCGTAGAGAGAGATGGTACAGGACGAATCCAACCAACCAAAATAATGCAGCATACTACCACTGTCAGATTGTCTCGTTATAACACATTTCTAATGCAGTCCCACCCCTCCCTATCACTGCTGATTTACTGAGGTTTAAACTGTGAGACAATCAATCGAAGCTTACTGAGGCTTTGAGGATTCAGAGGAAAGGTGCAAATCACATGGTCTTTTTTTTTCTTTCCTATGCCTGTGGGATGAATCTCCTCTGATGACATACTTCTATAAATGTGTCTGAGCCCTGATGGGTTTGATTCTACTGCTGGGCTATATTCTGGGATGTTTGGATAGAAAAGCTAGAGAAAAGTGTCCACTAAATACTAGATGTGAATTGTCAGACCAGATTTCCAGAGACAAAGACTGATGAAAAGTGAAGCGACAGGTCTTGCATCTTAATGAAAGAATTTCCATGAGTCCGTGTCAGTAATGTTGTTTATCCTGTCAGAGGTGACCTGTCTGTTGGAGAGTAACTCCGAGCTGATCCGAACTCTGGAGCAGGTCAACATGTCCCTGAGGGAGGGGAAGAGTCTGGACGTCAGCCTCGGGACCCTGGAGGCCATAGCTGCACTCAAGACCCAGCTGGAAAGCCTACTGCAGGGGAGGAAGTGGAGGAACACTGTGGAGCATATCTGGGCTTTTGGTCCTCGCAGGTCTGACCAAATCATAACAGACATTATCTAAAGGCACTAAACATATTGATGTAGAGACCTTAAAAAGTATAGACCAAACCAACAGTTCCCAAAATGAATTTTGGCAACTGTGGGGAAAAACAAGCTCCCTCATTAACTAGAAGAAACCCCCAGCATAACCAGACTCAATGTGGGCGGCCATCTGCCTTGACTGGTTGCGATGAGCAGAGCAAAATGGGGAGGAGAGAGGAGATGGGTGGAAAAGAGGATTAAGCTCTGTCAGACTGGTTGTTATAATGACAAAAAAGTAATGATATCTATAAATGTATTGACTTTATTAAAGATAGCAGCACCAGTTCATTATAATATTATACAACAGGTTTATGTTTTTCACTACATATGTGCTTCACTTTAAACATAGAACAGGCACTAGTTTTGTTTTTACGATTTTCATTTCAGTTGGCAGTGTGTCAGGTACATATTTCAAAAACTAATGCAGTCAAATACAACAGTCCTGTGATGAGTCTTTCATGTAGATTCTATTGTTCTGTTTTTAATGAAACTAGTGCAGTGCAGGTTCTTAACCTTCCTGTTTGGAATGTGCTGTTTTCTTGGCCAGTGTTAATGCTCTGGATCTATATCAGAATTATTCCTTGCCATTAGTGAGTCCTCCTCAAACAGTTCTATAATAAACTGTCAGTTTTTATTGTTTGTGTGCTGGACATTGTGTACAAACAGTCCAAGGGCCACGGTGAAGTTAGAAAAAATGTTTTCATCCTACCTGGTTTATCTGCAGTGAAGATTTTATAGTCAATAAATGATACTGAAAATACTTTATTGATGCTCACATGTGTGGCTTATATATACAATTTGATCCAATTGACCCAAATTCACAACTTTTCAAAATAAAATCTCTGTAATTCTGCTCAGTAAGAAGCATTGTTGCAACAAAACTAATGTTACTTTAAAGACAAATTGCCAAACAGGAAGTGAATGTTACCATGGCGGAGATCAGCATCCATCGTGTGTCAGTCCGTCTGTGTCTCAGTCCGATATGGTCATATTAAAAAAATCTTATAAAAATCTTAAAGTATTTGAAAAACATTATTTATTTAGCACTATTCATGCATAAAACACAAAATCTCAACATAAAAATCTGATAATAATTCATGATAAATAATTAAACACATGAAAATTAAAAACTATGTATTTAGTTGACTTTAATTATAGTACAATCAGCATTAAAATTGAACAGTGCAACTGTCATGATGGAGGTGTGATTGCAGGACTGGATTAGATTACATACGTTTTAGCTGGATGTACCTAATAAACTGCCACTGAGTGTATGTGGCCTGGGTTTGCATGAACACAGTGATTTGTTGTACCTTGTAATGTGTTACTCACCATTTTACTGCACTTGTTTTCAGGTACGGCCCCAACATTCTGCTGAACAGTGTGGAGGGCTACCAGCGGCCCTCAGTGTGGCAGTGTCTGAGCAGAGGGGACAAAGTAAGTGAGGCTGGAGCTCAGGCCACTGTTCTGCGAGACTTAGACAACAGCATCGTCAGTGGCTTCCAGCTAGCAACTCTGTCAGGGCCCATGTGTGAGGAACCCCTAATGGGAGTTTGCTTCTCTGTTGAGAGGTGGGACATCCAGTCTTTAGCCTTATCTCAGAATCAGGACTCCATATCTCCTGAGGATTTAGCACACCAAAAAGTGGAAAGAAGAAGTGAGACATCTCCACAAGCGGAGGGCTCAGCAGCAGGACCAGGCCAGGCCAGACGCAGACCAGAGACTACCACTGCAGACTGCTATGGGCCAGTCTCTGGCCAGCTTATCGCTGCCACTAAGGAGGCCTGCCGTCATGCCTTCCAGGCTCAGCCTCAGAGACTCATGGCCGCCATGTATACCTGTGAGATCATGGCCACCGCTGAGGTGTTGGGTAAGAAAGTATTTTTGACAATCCTCTCCACACAAAGAAAATATTATACATCTTACAAGGGTCAGTTTCTCTCCCTGTCACATTCGCTCCATATTGTATGTATATGTATAATCAGTCAATACAGAAGGTAATGTGGCAGGTAACTTGTGATTGTGCTGTCACAAATCAACTGCATGTGAAACCTGTATGGTTTATTTGTGTGTTGGAGGACATTAAACTCAAGCAGTGACAGCTGATTAATTCGGGGCACCGGGGCGCGCCCCCTCCAAAATCCTGAGACATGAAAGCCTGTATAAAAACATAATTTAATGAGATAATAATAGTTTACTCATACAATGCTCCTGGTAAACCTTAAGGATCTGTGAGCATTCAATATAAGTTGTTTTCAACTAGGTTAATTTCTGTCTAAATACATAATACTTCCAAGTGTGGGTTTTTTTTAATATAATGTAATTGCTTGACCCTCAACGCCATCTCAGGTACATCCGCTGTAACTGAGTTACTACTATGTAGTACTTGCAGAGTATGAACAAAACTTCCCCAGACCATGCGTACGCACAAATGATGAAGACACAGCTGTCCGAGAAAATGAAAACACACACCCTTTTAACTAAAAGCTAAATTACTAAAGCATTGACCAAATGTATTGAATAAGCATGAAATTAACGCCCTTTAATCCTCATTTATTGCTCTCATTAAAATCTTCAACTATACCAGTTGAGATAGTTTTCTTAGTTTATAATACAGTATATAAGGATGTTCATATTGAAATCGTTAAATTCTTGGCCTATGACTGATTGGTCACTCCCAAGAATTTCCTAAGAACATTTCTGTGCACATGTTAGTGTATGAGGCCTAATGAGGCTACATTGTTGCAGCAGGCTTAGTATATACAGTTTTAATATATTAAAGCATTAATTAAAAAGTGTGTTTACATTTCCTAAAACAGTCAGGCCATGATCATTGGTGCATACACATCTTCTGAGGCTGAGGCTCAGTGTGTGTTTGTGTAAAACACACCATCCTGCTTTAAGACACTATAAACGTCTCAGTTTGTAATTTCAGCATGAAAAAGAGTCAAGTCTGCAGAGCTCATAACATACTAATGCTCCACAACACTCCCTGAATTGTTGTCCTCTGAAAGTCATTAGGATGAAAATGAGGCTTGAAATGCCATTTAACATGTTGGTAAACAATATCTTCAGGCTTGTTTACAGCAGCTTGTTAAAGAAAGAATTGCTTTGTCAGTTGAATCCAAGCAGGCTGAATAAGTGAGGCGTCAAATGAAGAGAAGACTCCTGACTTTTGGCTCAGTCTGGATGTGTCCGAAGGACCCCACATCTGCTTTATCCTTTTACTGAGTCATCATGGTCAACAGCTATTTTCCTTTAGATCACCTTCATAAAAAATAAAATTATATATATTTCTGACTTTTTCATCAGTTCATCACTCTCGATGCATCTGTAGTTACATACACCAGACTACTGAGTGCATTGCTTTGCTGTACCTGATGCAGATTGTGCCTGTTCTTCTGTGACTACAGATGTTAGACATTCCTTCCACCCAGTCAGCATCCTGGTCTATTCACTTAGTTGATTGGTCCTTCCGGTCACATGTAATAAGTTTTATTAGGACAATAGTTTGGTGGTGTATTGTCTGGCTGCGTAAAGTGTTTAATAAGATTTGAAAGTCTGTTATGTCATTCTTACTGTGTTGGTTATACTGAACCTCTCCCTTCATCAAGCTGATAAAAGTTTGATACACATCTTTCTGACTTCCCACTGTCACAACTTGTATAAGTCGTTAAAATAGTAATGAATAACAAAATAGCTATAGTGGCCCTTCAATGTAAAAATGTAGTTCAAACTAAATTTACATCAATAAATCAGCAAAGCCAACATATCAGCTGATATTCTGTATCTGTGAATATGTTGGCTTATAAAACAATGGCTGTTCAGAAATGCCAAAGTAAGTTTGCAGCCTGATAGAAACAGTCTCAAATAAAAAATGCTCTGTTCCATATTAAGTCATGTCACTTTTTTATGGAATCGTAGGATCAAGTTGATTGGTTGATATCTTTTTTTCTTGAAAACTGATCTGATGACACTGTGCTGTGCACATTGGGTGCACTGTGTTTCTTTCTTTTCTAGGCCGTATGTATGGTGTACTGGGGAAACGTGAGGGTCGCATCCTCCATGAAGAGATGAAGGAAGGCACAGATATGTTCATCATTAAGGCCATTCTGCCGGTGGCTGAGAGCTTTGGATTTGCTGATGAGATCCGCAAGAAGACCAGCGGATTGGCCAGTCCACAGTTGGTCTTCAGCCACTGGGAGGTGATTATTGCCGAATTAAATGACACAACAGCATTTGCAATCTGCGTCCTAACTGCCTCAAACCAACTGAATGCAACATTTGTCTCACTTTAAAACTGGTTGACACCTCTGCACATTTTCGCTGACGTTGTCCTTATTTAAGACTAAAATGCATTGTTGTTCGCTTGGGAAGGTGAACTGCATAAAGGGAAATATCTTTTGTTGTTTTTTTTATGGTGAACCCACAAAAACAGTGTTAACAGTGGCATTCCAGACAATGGAAAACTCCACCTGCAGAAAAAACAATGACAGCAAACTATCTGATTTGGCTCCGATAGGGTCTATATCACCTTTACTTACTAAGTCTAAAGCAAACAGAAACATGAACAAAAACATATCGGAGCTTGAACTTTAGGCTTTTATTGTAAATCATTGCTTTAGATTAAAACATATTTTCTAATGTTTAAAAACAAAACTTGAATGAAAAGAATTGATAATGTTGATGGTTATTTCCAGGTAATGATTTAGGATAAAAGTAAAAGAAGGAGGTGATTTTCCAACAGTTCTTTAATTGGAAAAGCATTTTAGAATTAACACAACTTTTGCTTTTATACCAAAAATGTCCCATTCAGGGATTGTTCAACAAAACAATTACTTTATCAGATTAATTTACATTCATTTTTTCAGTGTGTTGATACCAGATGAAAGTCTCATAACAATCAATTTCCTGGTGGGATTTTATTTTAGAGCTTCAAAAAAATGCTTGTTTTGTTGAGGAGGCATTTTTTCCTCTTCAATGGCCTGATATTCTCAGTGTCTGTTTTGTGTTATGTTGTCCTCTTCCTCCATATATTTGCCCATTTCCTAAAACACATTTTGGAGACATGAAATTGGCAGACCTGTTATTCATAAATAAAACAAGGACCGGTTTGATCTTGCTGTTGCAAAAGGGATTTTTCCTACAAAATGTTAGCCAGAGTTAGTGTATGCAACCACAGCTGGTACGTGAACTGTTAACCTGCCATAACAGACAATGAGCATGCAAGCTTTAGCCAATGTGTTTCAGATGTGATGTGACATGACATGCAGTTAGTTCTCAGTTTATTAGGAAAAACATTTTCAGACTTGTACAGTCTAATGTAATACATTTGACTGCAATAAGTCCTAACTGTATGAAAGTTATAATGTTCAGCTGTGTTTCAATTGTTCCAGAAAGGTATGATCATTATGGATGATGTAGTTTGTGGTGCCGTTGAAATATTCTCTATTATAGAGAAATGTTTCTGTTATTTAGCCTAACCTCATAATGAACATTAGCTGGACAAAACACGTAGCACCTTTCAATATAACACAATCTACGGCAAAGAAAATAAACATCTTTTACGTCTGAGGAAACAATCTGTGCCAACAGCAATACTCTCCGAAACCATTGTCCATCGAGGATACACACACACACACACGCGCGCGCACACACACACACACACACACACACACACACACACACACACACACACAGAGCAGGTTTAGTGTGACTTGTTATATGGAGCTGTAGGTCAATGAGGCTGTCTGGTTAATGAGACAATTCCCTCAAGGGAGTTGGATCAAAGCTGCAATAGCCAACATGTGTGTCAGACCGTTATACCTGCTGCCTGGCTCGTTCAAGCTGCAACACACACGAGCGCACATCCTCCAGGCCATATGGACATTGTCAGCAGGGGTAATGGGTCAAGTGATTCTTGCTGCTGCACAGCCACATGTCAGACAGACTCTCCTCACTGTGATGTAACGTCGTAAATGTTTCACAGTGTTCATTTTACATCCTGCTTGTGCAGTTTTATTACAGAGATGTGCTGGTAAAGTATGGAGAATAGTGGAAAACTACTATGATGGGATACTGTCTAAAGCTGCTTTCAGACATGCGCTGAAGTCTGGAGATCCTCTGCAGTTTCTCCACAGGCGCTTTATGTCTGAACACAAATGTCTGCCTCCAGAGTTTAGGCTGCCTGGCCACCTAGTATAAAGTCTGCAGAAAGTCCATAGGTGCCGATGTGAGCTGGTTAATGAACATTATGGTCTTATGGTTTGATTTATGGATTTGTTGATCCATAGAATCTACAAATCAAGATTTTGAACATCATGACACCACAATTAAATCCACTAGTTCTGGATTTTCATTTGGATCTGCACCTGACCCATGCCGCATCCTTTCATCTGGTTTCCTGGTGATCTGTTCTGTAGTTTTGGCATAATCCTGTTTACAAACTGACTGACAGACATAATGAAAACCGAAGCATAGATAATAACTGCCATGTTGGGATATATAAAAACAGTAATGTGCGGACATGTGCACTAACTCCGATTCAACGCGTACAAACATTTAGGAGACGGAAAAGTGGTAAATTGAAGCCTGATTGTAAATCCACTTTATTCTGATTATAAAAACTTTTCTTTCCAGTTCATTATGAAAGAACAACAGTGTTCCAAAAACTTGCTCCTCACTGACTTACTCGTTATAAAAAGTTGTAAAAGTTAACCCTATAAAACTTTTCCTGTATCAACCTCTCAGAGTTTCTACACAGAACCATGTACACAAGTGTTCATGTAATCACACGTATGTCGCACATGTTTGTCAGTGGTGCCAAAGCAAACATGTGTTTGCCCACTGACTGTGCAACATCAAGCCCTAAACACCCAAGGATTTGCAAATGTCTCAAAATTGTTTTGAGTTTCAAAGTGCATCGGGAAGCTGTCGAAGGAAATGTAATCTAGACATAAGTTTACACTTTACTACAGAGCAGTCCTTGAACATGAAACTCTGCAGTTGTGGACTCCTTCAATGCAGCCTTTGTATATGTAAGAAAAGGGGCTTGTTTGAAACCTCCAACCATGGACATAGAATATTTTAAGCCTCGCCATTCTCCACTGCTCAACTCTCTTGTCTCATGATCTCCATTACCTCACGCTCTATGTGGGACACTCCAACAGTCGTGGCCACGGTATTTTTTTTCTCAGAAGGAATAATAGTCCATGCACTCTTATGTCAAATTCAAATGTGAGTCTGTGTGAACGCCCCCTTGTGGTTTTTATGACTTTGTATATTTGTGAGGAAAATATTTTTATGTTTTATATATTTTAGTTTATATTTTCTATGGCCTCTTCTTTGCCCTCTTTACATTTCCGGCATTACTTTAAATACCTGTTAGCTTGCTGAATTGTTAGCCTCAACAGTAATGTTTATATATTAGCATCCATGTTGTAGTTGTATTACCCACTTGAACAACATACTGAGTAGATGATGTCCCATATTCTAACTACAAGTTAATAAGTCCAATCCATTTAGAGGCAGCAGTCCTTTAAATGATCCGCTTGGTAACACCATTCATTGTCATTGACCCTGTTCGGACCTGGTATTAACATCCATCCTGAGTTGGTCTGGGAGACGTGGCCATGTTCTTCCGCTGTGCGAATCCAAATCCGCCCTGGGCCACATATGAAGGACGTCTGACCTGTTGCAGGTTCACTATGAATCAAATGTATTTTTTACGTCTCCCAGTGACTATATGTTGATTAGTTTGTGGCCACCACCACAAACACTCATCTCAACATATTGATTGATTTAATTGGTAAAATCTTTCTCGCTCACATTCACACACACATGCGCGTGCACGCACACACACACACACAAACCCAAAACCTAAAACAAAGTTCTAGGCCCTTTGAAGAAGTGAGGACCAGTCAAAATGTCCTCACTCTATAGGGTTTATACCTAAAATGTACTTCAAAAAGGTAAAAGTACAAGAACGCACACACACAATGAAATTAGACTCATATGTAAACTCAGAGTGATTTGCATTAATATTTTCAGACGGAGCGTGGAAAGGGAGTTCCAATCACAAGTGGTCACAGGAGACACATTCAGGACACATTTTAATGCCAGATGTGAACAGACAGACTTAGCACTTCTAATTGTGTCTCTCAGGATGAATGTCAACACCAGGTCTGAACAGGGCCATTGTCTCCAGTTCCACTGATGCACTGTTGATGCCCAGCTCTACATCCCCACTAAATGCAGCTGGCTCCGCAAAATTAAATAGTGCAGCAAACCAGTTCCCTCAAACACATATCTGACAAATCTGATTTGATCATCACTGGTCTCAAATCCCTTACAAAAACCACACACAACTTGTGCCTAGCTATCAGCTGCTCCCCTCTTTTCTCCCTCCCCACACAGCCACAAGCTTGGAGCAGTTTTCAATGGTGACCTATAATTCAATCACAAATTACCAGTATCATTACCAGAACTTTGTTTTCCATTTGAAAAACATAGCATGCATCAGCCAGTCCTTCTCCTTGTCTGCTGCAGAAAAACAGATTCATGTTTTCATTCCATCCAGACTTGACAAGTGCAGGAGTATTCATTATGGATCTTTGTCCAACGTCTTGACTATCAGACAACCTCTTGAACAGTGGTCACCAACCTGTCGATCACGATCTACCGGTCTATGTCTTAAACCATAACTCTCTAGACTCAATGGCTGTGGTTCTACACAGATCAGCTGTGTGTCCTCTACTGGCGGCGGAGCTGCTGGTTTATCCACTGCATTTCTTCAAGTCGGATTGTGTACTAAACTAAACATCAGGACACTGCGATGAAGACCTTCATCTTCCAGTCTGTCAGTAACAATCAAAGCCCCATTAGAACAAATGAATGGATCAGTAAGTGAAACTCTGGAGTGCTTTGACTTTGAAACGGGTTGAGAAAGTGTTGGAATTATGTTTGTGACACAGACAGATAAACTTTGTGGTTCACAGCAGAATCCTTCAGCTGAGTTTTAATGTTTATCTGTTGAATTTATGTCACAAACATAAATGGTTGCAACACTTTCTGTGTGGGTTTCAAAATTAAAGTGTTTCTGATAACCGAATCCATTCGTTTGTTTAAAATAAGGGTTTTTTTGGGGAAATATATGCAGGAGCGAAAGATGCACGGCTTCATACTGTATAGTACTGGACTACATACACTTGTATACAAGGAAATAGTGATATGTATGGCCATATTCAAGGCAAAGCCTGTGCAATAACAGTAGCAGCTCCTCTGCAGAACATATTATTGAACTGAAGCTAATTGTCGTGCATTGAACAGATGCTGTAAATATGAATTGACATTAATGTGAATATTGTGCATTGAACAGATAAAGTTGCACAACTGCCTCTCTCTGTGTTTATTTATGCTCGTACATTCAGCCTTTAACGGACATTCCCAAAATAATAAATAAATAGGACCCTCCTGAGTGGGTTTTTTGGGAGAAATCAGGGTGGTAGATCTCGGCTTACGTTTGGAATTAAAAAGTGATCGTAGGTTGGTAAAAACTGCTCGAGAACTTGGCTACACACTCTAGCACTCACCATGTGACAGACTTGGTAGTCTGTCACATGGTACACTGAACATTTGTTGTAGTCAGTAACAAAAAAAATCTTGGTCCCACAAATTCATACCTACTTAAACCAAGCAAGTGGTTGTAGGGGGGTGGATTTATTAGCTAATACGAGCATTAAATCATTAATGATAAACTTAATGATTTTAAGGGTACATCCAAACATATTGTAATATGCCAATTTTGATGAATTTACACGACACAAGTGCAAAATAGTGATGCATTTTAAAATCAAAAATACTGCAGATTAGTGTGGATGTGCGCTTGTCGTCCTCCACCGCTAATTTCTGTATCTCTTTCCACTCTCTCTGGTCAAGCAGCACTTGAACACCATTCAGTCCACGTTGAGCTTGAATAGAAAAAGTAAAGATGTAAAAGTTAACCAACATAGTCATTGGCCTCCATGCTGCTGTTTAATGTTTACTAACCCTGTTTCTGGTGAGTTCACGACACGTGTGAACATGACACACTAGAAAAAAAGCTCATTCATCATTCACCGCCAACATTTGGTATAAACATACTCTGTAACAGATTGTATGCTGCCAAGATTGTGCGCCTGTTCTGAATGTAGAACGTTGTCTGTCTAATCTCTGGCAGCTGCCACAGAGCCTGTCGAGCACCTATAGGCCTTTTGTGTGTGTGCAGTGACCTTCATGTCATCATTTTAACCCTCAAAATCTTGTAGCACTTGGCAACACGCTACCACCACGAGCACAACCCCCCCCACCCCCCGAGCCATTGTCCCGTAGCTATTGTCTTTGCCTCATTAAAAGTTGCCTGTCTCATTTCATTTATGTGCAGACGCTTCCTCACAAAGAGTTTATCCTGATCCCACCACCACCACCACGGTACCCCAGCCCTCTCAGCTTCAGGACTCGACGGCTGCTTAGTGCCGGTGTCAGCGTTCCTTCTGACAGCGATTTCATATGGCCAGAATCTTGGATTAACATATGAATGAGTGCATAGGCAGAGAGAGCAGATTTCGAGCGTTGCATTGTTGTGTAACTGGAGAGTTAGTGGCTCCTGTGGGGACGTTTACATTAGATTTCCATCAGAATGGAGCCTTTGTTCAGTTGCAGACTGAAGAATTGTGTGAATAAGTCTTGTATTGATCAGCCGAAGCATCTGTCTGACAGTCCAACTAAACGGGGGGGGNGGGGGGTGTGTGCGTGGGTAGGTGTTTGTGTGTTGTTGGCCTGGTTATACATTGAACCTGAATGATGTATGAGCATGGCAGAGATGCTAGATTTTATCGTATCACAGTTACATTTATATGTTTCAGCTGATAATCGCAAGGAGATGCAGGACATGCATAAGGTTGAAATAACATATATATACAAATTTGAGAATTCCCGAAACAATGATGTCGACACCCACATTCACTTCCTGATTGGGTCTTATCAAACATGACTCGACAATGGGTAGTAGATGCTAAGCGTTGCTACAACTTACTGTACCAGCTCCTCCTCAGGTTATGTCCAAGAAGAGAAATCCCTTCTCTTGTTTTATTTTCTGCAACTAGGCAACCGACAGTAATTACACGTTTTGCTTCCTGTTTACACCAGCACATATGTGAACGATCATGAGATATTATTGTATATCTGTTATTGTTGGTGGAGATCATTTCCATTATGGAGGTGAAATGCTCAACTGGACAGAGACTGTCTTCATTTTAACAGATGAGCGTGTTGTCATGGTCCTTGAGACATTTGGCAGGAAGTACCACAGAGGTGGCTTTGATTACTTTGGCAGGTGCTCAGAGACTCCTCCAGAACTAGTGAAACAATACAGCCAACTCCTTTGTGTTGTACATTGAAGACAATTGGGTTTTAGGGTCAAAAATCAGATATATGACAAGAGTTCAGGTATCATTTCCTGGTTTTTACATCTAGATGTGTCACACAACTTAGACATTGCACCTTTTGTATCAGACTGCCCCATTTTATAATAATATCTAATATTTGCACACTACACTTTGCAATCACTTCACCAAGCCTACGACCCATTGACATCACTTAACTGTTATATGGTAGTAAGACTAAAGTAAAGACTACAGAGCACTCATAATTATGTATTCAAGACTATGAAGTACCCATGTAATAATGTAGTAGTTACTTGATAATGAATATAAATGAAGTTTATAATGACTTTTAATAATTTGAAAATGGGGATAACAGCCCACAGTATCAATCTCATGAAAAAAGACAAAGACCAGGTTGTGATGGGAACAGACCAGTCGAATGTTGACATTCCAACCCATGGCTCAGTATTACATTCTCAGTAGAGCACTACCATGAGTACCACAGCCACCTTCAAACTCAGTTTGACCTCAAATACTCACCTGTATAGTTTCATGACTGTGTCTTGCACAGGTGCGATGCTATAGCAGATGAAAAGTCGAAAAAACTCTTGTCAGAGAATTTAAAGCTGCCTCTGTGGTAGTTCCCTCTACAGCAGGTGTCTCCATTTTGCCATGATGACACATTCACACCCACCCACACACACACACACACACACACACACACAAAGGCTCACAAGATGAAAACAATATTAGCCCTCCTATCGTGCCTGGTATTGATTGCCCCCTCCTTCCTCAGTATTCACAGAGTACTCATTATTTGTCTTTTAAAGCTAGTTATTGGGTCAATAAATCCTAAATGTGGGGTGGCCTTGAGTTCAAGGTGCGAGTCAAGCACTTGACTGCTGCAGGATTCCACGTGTCTCCTCACTCCCCACTCGATCCCATTGTTGTACAGCATATGCTGTTCACGTGCGGTGTGGTGTGGTGTGTGTTGTCGGGGCTGGTGTGGGTTGTGTCCTCTAATCCACCCGTTGTTGTAGCTAGCTCTCTGCCATCTGTCCCAGTGTAACTAGAGCCAGGTGCAGAGCCCTGCTGCCTGTTGCTTCAACTGTAATTGTTACTAATGTGTGTCACACATCAGTGTGCAGCATTGAGAGCCTTTGTCTTGAGCTGAACTGTGTGTGTGTGTGTGTGTGTGTGTGTGTCCTCTTTTGTTCAGTTGATCCAGTTTAGTAAGAGGACTAGTAGCATCAGTTGTGCCTAACTACTAGTTATATGATCAATTTATTAATCAACGTTTGTTAATCATCATTAGTTGTTATTTGTCATGATTCAAGCAAAATGTCAAACGTTTTTAGCTTTCAGCTGCTCTGATGATTTGCTGTTTTTCTCTGTTTCCTATCTTTGTAAACTGGTGTATCTGTGAGATTCTAAATGTTGGATATTGCTCCTTGGGCTCTGGGGAACTGTTTCAGTATTATAACCATTATGTTCTCTCTGCATACAATGCATAGAGTAAGCTTTTGTCAGCAAGGAGAAGGTATAAACAAATAGGAACATATTTTCCAAATCCATTCACTATGTTATATTTGTATATAGTATAATTTAAATCCATTGTGTTTGGATTGAACACTTACAGATAACAGTTGTGTGTTACTTGTAGGTAAAATTAAGGTTTGTGTCACATTTGAGTACAATCAACCAGAAAGGAGCAGAATTACATGTAGATGATAAATGTTGTCTTATACTATGACTGACCATCACATGTCTGTCCCTCTCCTGCTCTCTGTGTCCCAGGTTATAAGCAGTGACCCATACTGGGTTCCCACCACCGAAGAAGAGTACCTGCACTTTGGAGAGAAAGCAGACTCTGCCAACCAGGCCCTCAAATACATGAACGCTGTCCGCCGCCGTAAAGGTCTCTACGTGGAGGAGAAGATAGTGGAGTACGCAGAGAAGCAGAGAACTCTCAGCAAGAACAAGTAGTGGAGATATTGTGGTCTGATACAGTAGCAGCAGAAAATGTGCTGACAAGTCAGAAGAGGTAAATGGCTTTCATAGCCTTTCCAGTCCTCCATTTCTACACTAATGCAATCAAACACCACACCGCTGTCTGTGTTTGTGTGTCACACTCTCAAAAAGCCTGCAAACAGCTTTATCCTGTTGTCTGCAGGCCCACACTGACAGTGGTGCCAGTCGATAGCCCCCACCCTGCATGTCCACTTACTGCTAATGGTTGGTGAGCTCCTCCTGTGAGACCTTGGTTAGTCCACTGGGTGGGACGGACTTGTCTTGCATCGTGGAGTCAGTTACTGTCATGCATAATTGAGGAGCTACATTTACTCCGGGCAAAATCTGGCAGATTTGCTGTAGTCAAGTGGCTCAAATTAATTCCATCCTTCACACACACACACTCCTTTTGACTCCTGATTTTTAGAATTGCATTACACAGACCCTGAAGGTTTTTAATTTGGAAAATATGAATATAGTGAAAATTGGGAAACAAGGATAGTTTTAATCATCTAGGAGAAGAGGGAAAGCAGCCTGCATAGTTTACACATCACAGCATTCAAATCAATCAATCTTTACGTTGTGATGTTTGGTTTGACACTGGTTGTTTCAGCTCACCGTCACAAAGGCTGCCTTCAAACTGAACTTGTGAGCTTGAAACACTTGTGAATCATGTAGGAGGAATGTTTGGAGTTCAAGTCATGAGAAAACACTGCTGCTAGGTAACAGCAACCTGGACTCTACCATTAACATTACTGTTGACGTCTCAAAGCCACACAGGCTAACATTTAGTATGCTATCAGCAGGAAATGCAAAAACATAATGTCCATGGGAAAGGATGAGACTGGTGGAATATCAACTTTTTCCTCAGATGTGTTATACAAATCTGAAAAAAAGAATTATTCCAAAGTCATGATGGTTGAATGAACCTTGAATAGAGCAGAGCAACTGTCCAAATTATATTACCACCAAGTCCACATTTCTGCATTGAAACATGATATAGATTCTGCATCATGCCATCAACCTAATGTGTAATTTTCTCTTGGGCAGCATGCAGTGTGACAACCTGCCTGATGTTCATGCTGCAGCTGTGAGATGTCAACAAAGGCATCAGAGTGTCTCCACTGAAAAACATGTCTCTGAGTTGAGAAAACAAGTCTGTCAATAAATCTTCTCTGATACTGCTGTTGTTGGTCATTATAACAAACTGTGTAAACCAAAGGAAGAGCGAAATGTTTTTTAATGCAATTGAAATATTGATGCCTCTCACCATTTGTCCTTCCTGACCAGCCCCGGTTTATGTAAAGCTGGAAATCAAGTATGTTTTGCTTTAATCCAATTAACAATTTGTGTTAAAATACTGCATAAGCATCACTGTTTTATAAATTTTAAAAATGTTGTTACAATGGGTACCATTATATAATGCCATTCATTTAAATAGGTATATTTATATTATATTTATATATATATATATATATATATTTATAGTATATTTAAGTTTTGATAGTTCCTCATTCTTCAGGAAACTGTGTGCTGGATATCAAAATTCTGCTATAAACAATTGAAAAAATCTGTCTCATTCCCATGTACAACACAGAGGGTTGTTTTGCAGCATCAGCATGGCCAATACAAATAATACCTGTCTATACCCTGGCAGGATGCAAACAGTACAGAAAAACACAGCGGAGCAGGTTATTGTGTTGAATGTGCTGTAGCCGGCTGCTCATGCGTCCAGAGAGATGAGTTTAGGCGAGGCCTGGCAGCAGGCCACTGCTCTTAAATTGATTGCCTTTGTTTCCTGTGAGCTGAGTCGGGCTACGCCATTACATCATTCTTCTCCCCTCCCCACCCTTCCCCTCCTCAGGACAAAGCACAGAGACTGTTATTAGAGTTGGAGTTGCCTGTTCAGTGTGGCACACAGGGCAGTCCAGCTGGTGTAAACCTAAACAGCCCAGTTATTGATTCTGTGTGTGTGTGTGTGTGTGTGTGTGTGTGTGTGTGAGAGAGAGAGAGACAACCTGGAAGAAGCCTTATTCTGCTCATCCGGTCATTTTCTTATTTCTGACCTTTGAGTATAGCTGACAGTAACCCTTCCATCTTGATGATTGAAATAAAGATGGAGAACACGTGTCCACCTCCAACTACTGTACAAGAGTAAAGCCAAAATATCCAGGATACAAGCACTGCCATCTTATTCTGGTGTCTCTGTATCTCTGTCTGTGTCTATGTCTCTGAAAAAAACGGTATTGTTTTGCTCTCTCTTTCTCTCTCTCTCTCTCTCTATCTGTCCCTCCCTCCCTCTCTCTCTCTCTCTCTCTCTCTCTCTCCCCCTTTCTGCTGAGACCATATACTTTGCTGATGTGTTCTGCAGAGCTGAGTGGATTTTTCTCTCCCTGCTCGAGCTGTCTGGCAAGTCCCTGCAGACACAAAACACAAGATCCCTTACACTCTGTCAAGTCAGCACAGTCACAGCATGGAAACACACAGGTTCACACTGATGCCAGGACATGTGGTTTTCAAGGAAAGGTTTTCTCACAGTGCTTTGGCTGGCTCTCTGTTCATGTGTCAGCTGACTCTGCCTTCACTCATTCTCTGTCCATTTGTTCAGGCTGTAGAGGAGTGGAGTGTGTCGAGAGGCCAGTCACCCAGTCGATGTGCCTGCTTGTGCCAGGTCAATAGGTCAGTGTTAAGACTGTCTATATATTCTTGTTGCTTGTAGCTGTAAGCTCTGAGAACCGCATTGGTTTTAAATGTTTAGCCTGACTTTTACTGGCTGTTGTCTCAGTGAGTTTTAGAGCAGCAGTGGCCTAAAATGCCAACTGCGGTTAAATAAAGTGGGAAATGTAAAATCTAGCCAGTCAGACTTGAATGGTCCTGGTAAAAATAAAGAGTGCCTTTATCAGACAAATCTCTTTAAAACTATTAATTTTAATTTGAATACTATCAAAATTGATCTATGGTTTCTGAGGTATTGTGTGTGAAGCACAGATGGTGTGAAGACGAAGACGTGACATGCATGAAGTAAATGCATCCAATAACTGGTCCACATTTCTAACAGAGTGAAATAAAGCAGAGGATATAAGGTCTGCTCAGATACTGACTGTTTTATACACAGTAACCTCAAAAGGCTTAAATGATCAAATCCTACAATGTGGGCATGTTCCCTTTTATGTAAGCATTCCCACAAATAATGCATATTTAGTGGATAGGAGAACAAGAATATGATCATATGTACAAAATGAAAGACAAAATCTGACAAATAACCGTGGTTGCATTGATGTGAAGTGCCTGGGGAGAGAGCTCTCACTGACCTATGAAATTCCACTCAAAGTCTACAAGGTGGATTGTGACAAATTTCTTCTGAATGACTCTCCCTGTCCTCTTGGAGACGATTCCCCCAGCTTTTGTTCCTCTTTCTGAGTTGATTCAAAAGAGGCATCTACAAAACACAAAAGAACACAAGAGATTAGAGGTTGGATAGAAATAAAGTCAGTGATATACAATGTCGATAATGAGGTGTTTGTGAAGTTAGGATTGAAAATACATGTGAAAAAGGAGAAAATGACAGATGGACAGCACAAGCCTTACCTTGTTCAGACAGCTTCCCAGTTAAAGATAGTCACATTGTAAACAGAGCAGCAAGCCCTACATACAGTACGATCCTCAAGGCTGATCATCCAGTGTCCAGCTGTCTCATGCACTTTTCCACCTGAAGGATGAATCGAGTCTTCTCAAAGAGCATCTTGACTTTTGCAAACATCTCTAACAACTTTATTTATTATGATTACAGATTTAAATAAACCCATCTGATATGCAATGTAAGAAATGTCCTGAATACATACCGAGCAATATTAGACAAGGAGTCAAAAGAAGGTTGAGGGACGAAATAACTGTGGTGAAGATATTAGCTTTATTAGATGAGGATTAAGATGGCAATAATTTGTTGCAGTATAAATGAAAAGAGAAGAGAAACAAACTAGATGAATGAGTCCATCTTTGTTAAGTGGGCCTTCAGCAGCTGGACAACATACTTATATTTCACACTAATATAAGTTCAATTTATAACATTATGAAAGCTGTAGTGGAGTTAAGGTTAGGGTAACAATGTACAGAAGAGGACAAACTCACAATAATGCTCATAGCTGCAAACCAACTGACCATAAAAAGCCAATAAGAATAACTTTTAAGTACTTTTTACAAATTGGTCTAACCTACAAAATAATACTATACTTGTGGTGCACAGGTATCAGCTCTGACTAGTTGTAATAAATACAATAACAGTGTAAATGGTGATTTATTATTGATGATAGCAGCAACAATTCATATAATAATTAATTACTAATAACTAGTGTTGTTAATAATAATAATAATAGTTGTTCTCCTGCAGTTCTTGAGTCAGAGATATCTGAAATGAAAGAGAGAAAGAGAGAGAGAGAGACTGGGAGGAAAAATACACATATTTATTGACATGTATTAAATAAATAAATGTAAATGATTTGTATTTATACAGAGCTTTTCTGTCTTGATGATTACTCAAAGCGCTTTACAGTTTGCCATTCACACACACACATTCATACAGTGCATCTATGGGCAGCACTTTCTTTTTCTGTGAGGGGCAATTAAAGCTTGAGCATCTTGCCCAAGAACACCACACATGCAGATGGTGAACACAGCCATCAAACTGCCGATCTCCTGGTTGGAGTACGACCGCTCTACTCCTCAGCCACAGCCACCCGTGTGGGTCAGAGAGACAGAGAAGTGGAGAGGTGCTCAGTGGATGATGGGAGTTCCTTAAATGTTAAGCTGGTGTCTGTCTCCTGAACCCAGAGTGGGAGCTGGTTCCACAGGAGAGGAGCCTGGTAGCTGAATGCTCTACCTCCTGTTCTACTCTTGAAGACTCTTGGAACCACAAGAGAGCCTGTGTTCTGTGAACGAAGTGATCTATTTGGATAATATGGTGTTATCAGCTCTTTGATATATGAAGGGGCTTGATTGTTAAGGGCTCTAAATGTGAAGAGCAGGATTTTGAATTATATTCTGAATTTTACAGGGAGCCAATGTAGAGAAGCTAAGACAGGAGTAATATGATCTCTCCTTCTAGTTCCTGTCAGCACTCGTGCTGCTGCATTTTGGACCAACTGGAGACTTTTTACCGATTTCCTGGAGCATCCTGCTAATAAAGAATTACAGTAATCTAGTCTAGAGGTAACAAATGCGTGGACTAGTTTTTCAGCATCCTTCTGAGACAGGATGTTTCTAATGTTTTTAATACTGCGCAGGTGGAAGAAAGCTGTCCTAGAGACTTGTTTTATGTGTTGGTTCAAATGGCATGTCCTGGTCTAACATAACTCCAAGGTTCCTCACAGTGGAGCTGGAGGCCAGACTGACACCATCCAAGGTAACTATCTGTTCAGACAGTGATTCTCTAAGATGTTTAGGGCCGATTACAACGACCTCAGTTTTGTCTGAATTTAGAAGTAAGAAGTTTTGGGTCATCCAAGTCTTGATGTTCTTGAGATATTCCTGAAGTTGAACTAAGTGATTAGATTCATCAGGCTTCAGAGAAATGTACAGCTGGGTGTCATCTGCATAACAATGGTAGTGTACGTGGTGCTTTCTCATGATGTTGCCTAAGGGGAGCATATATAAGATGAAGAGTATCGGTCCAAGGACAGAACCATGTGGAACTCCATGACTAACTTGCATGTGCATGGAGGGGTCATTGTTGACGTTAACAAATTGAAATCTATCTGATAAATATGATTTAAACCAGTATAGTGCTGTTCCTCTGATCCCTACATGTTGTTCTAGTCTCTGTAACAGGATCTTATGATCTATGGTGTCACACGCTGCACTAAGATCCAACAGGACGAGGACAGAGAGTAGAGTACAGTAAATACAACCTCTGCAGCAAATTAAAATGTATCTTTAGTCAAATGTCAATGCACGTTTACTTTTTAAGCAGAAAAAAAGAACTTATACACAAAAGTTTGGGAGACTTTTCTTATAATTCACTCATTAGTTATGTGGTGGTTGTCATTAAATGACAATGCCAGAGTTAATGAATGACCATGTAGTAAAACACACAAATAGATGCCTAGAAAGCAGGGAAGGCTACAGAAATATAATTAGAAATGGCAGTTAAAGAACTCTGCAAGTCTGGACATGATCAACATCTGCCGGGCAGAAAGACAAAGTAAAAGCCTCTTATGACTGCAGAGGAGCTGCAGGAAGGTTAATCTGGCACATTAGTGGTTTTGCACTGTTTCTCTGCACAGATGTGGTGCACAAGGAGGGTCTGACAGAATCAACAGAGGGAACCGTTAGCTGGGACCTCATCACAAAAGTAAACATCTAAGCATACAAAGAAATCTGGACAAACCAGTCATTTTGGAAAAATGTAATCTTTACTCGATATTACTTTGTA